GTCATCTGGCATTGATATACAATCTGCTTTAATTACATTGACGTGCTCATATTGTTAGTTTCGTTTTGAAACTTTTGTCAGAAGTGTATTTGTGCCATACAGAATGGAGAGGGAGATTGGAAGAGTGATCACGTTCTTTTTTTCAAACATGTCATTGTTACCGGTATTTATCAAGTCTAATTTAAGACCCATATTTACAATGTTAGCTCCACCTCTCATGCATATCTAATGTTCAATCAAGGGCAGGTGAGTGTAAATTCACTATATTTGGAAAGCACTAAGGATAAAAAAAACATTGAATCATTTTATTGTATCACAGTCTAAAATCATTTTAAGATTTAAATTTGGTTCCAAATTGACAGGATTCTTTCATAAACAAACAAAAGTGAAATAAGGTTTAGATATAAAAGCAACAGTAGCAACCGAAAAAGACCCAAAAACAGGCGTTAAATGCAGTCATCCTATGTATGAAAAAAACCCCAAAAAACACCACCACTCCTGTCAGTAATACTTCTTGACATATTTTTAAAGAAGCTTTTCAAAATACAGGTCGTCAACCCCCCCCCCCCTTTCCCCCCTTTGAAATATTTCTAGATCCACGCATGTTCACTTTAACACATTCTACACATTCCACTCTCCCTAAGTATCATATTATGTCGTCCTGTCTCATAATCAAGATTATAAGATGAAAGCCTAATTCGACTAACTTGAAATGGAGCTGTGCAGTTTTAAACTTACGAAAACTACACGCCGCATTTTCGTTTCACGGGGGGAGGGTGATATTTTTTATTTTCCACTGCATTCTATAGCGGAAAACATGTTTTAACAGAATTACAGAGTATTCTCTTCTTCTTTCCAAATAATTATTGTTTTGAATTTTCTTCTATTTATATATATCATTCAGATATGCCTTTTGAAAATTGAGGTAGGTGACAAAACAGTTCTGAATACATGGTATATAAATCTCGGCGTTCGACATTTTAGCGGGGGAAAATGGACGTTTTATAGCGAAAAATGTGACATTGAAGCGGAAATTAAAATACATAGGGACATTCAACAAATTGTTAAGTAAAATATAATTATATCTATGCCCCTTCCGTTAGCCATTCGGGCTAAGTTTTCTGCCCCCTGCGGGGGTAGGGGGTAGGATTTTGCGCAGACTTAACAATACTATTCATTTCTCAGGATTGTAAAATACAAATCTGTATCTGTATTACATTTCCTCTTCAGAGTTATTATTACAAATGCTGATACCTGCACTCACCTGTATAAATAAAAATGAGTTGAGTTTTATTCAATAGTTTTTAGCTGTGCCGTCGAAACCTTTGCTAGAGTCAGGAACTTAGAAATTTTAAAGTTCGTCATATTTTGCTGGCATTACATTGATTGTTTAAAAAATAAATTTTATCCGAGAAAAAAAATCCACAAAATTTTTTATTGAATTATTACAGGAAAATTGTTTTTCTTCATATTAAATGCTTTATAATTTTTCCGCTGAAATTAATGTCTATTCTCATCTTTGCAGGTCCTTCGCCCACACATCTCCTATTATGTTCATTCATGTATTGTGATTTAATTATATACTTGGCTTTACAAAAACGCAATGGGTATTTGAAAAAATATATATAAAGATATTAAAATATTATCCAATATTTTTTTTAATCGTAAATATAATTCATCTATTAGCATTACCAGCTGATCAAGGTGCCCTTTGCCTAGAACTCATTTAAAATTGCGGAAATGACACAGCGATTCGCATGACTACATATTGTATCGATAGAAGGGAGTCATAAAACAACATGATGGGTATATCAATGTAAACAAGTTTCACACCTTTGCGTTCTTTTGTTTACAAAGAAACAACATAATTACGTATAATTCCATGGATTATAGTATTGGTACATGTACATGTATTAAGACCGTATATTGGAACTTCTTCTAAATCGATATAAGTTTAAATCCTGCTGCATCGTATAACCTGTTAAGAGAAAGAAAAAAAATCCAAATTATTTGTAAATATTAATTATAAATAGTTTTTAAAAGGGTGCTTGGATGCCCGGAACGTTTATTATGGCCGGAACCAAACTTACGCGGGCCGGAACGTTTATTATAGCCCGGAACCAATATTATAATATTTAGCGTTTCGGTCGGAACGCTAAGTTACCCGGAACGTAAATTATGCGACACCGGACAGACGGACAGACAGACTCAGAGGAAACCTATAGTCGCCTCCGGACTTGCCGGTAGGGGACTAGTATTGCTAATGCAATACTCTCAGAATGCTTGTTTTATTTGTTTCTTGTTTGCTACACTTAGTAATGAACTTAAACATTGTTTTCAGAACTATTTTAATAAAATTCAGCTATTGGGCTTATATAAAACTACTATAAATAGAACGCGTATCACATCCGTGTACATTATGTCCAATGAACCCTAACTCCGTCACCTTGGCCGTCTACAATATGTCAAAGTTTTTCCAGTTTAGTTTTTTTTCCTTCATCTTAAACCTGTAAACATAAAAAAATAGTTTTGAAGATTTAAAATAGTATTAAATTATATGTAAGGAAAAGTAACAACAGAAAAAATAACGTTAATATAACATATTTGATATGTAATAACGTCACGCTACATCATTTCCAACGTGTGGCGCATTAGGGCAAATTGAGACAAAAAATAAAATATTTTTAGCTGTATTCAATATGGTATGTCATATTAATACTTTGGCAAACACCTTCATAATTATGACTGACACGTAAAAATTAGCATATTGACGGAAAAAGTACTTACTGATTCCACATAAAATATGATAGATACAATAGATCACGTGTAATTGTTATCGGCCGCAGCAGCGGCCGATCTATATGCTGTTGTGTTAGAATGCGCACGTGGGGAAATGAGACGTTATTTTTTGCATTGCTTTGTTGAAATAATTCCTTATCAATACCTTACATAAAAGTTATAAATAAAAGTTTTAAAAATACTTAGTCTAAATGATTATTATTACGTTTCAATTTGTTTTTCATTTCTTATCATATATTTATTAATTTATGATTTTATAAAAAGTTGCTACATGAACTCCTCCCCAACATGGGCGTGTGTAAGATATAAAAAGAAACGTATTGAGTTTCCGGATATGAATTACATTGCCAAAAATAATTCAGAAATTGTAAAAAGTTTAAGAAGAGTTTTGTTTTGAATATACTGCATATGCAAATGACACAATGAAATTTTTTCTGCACTTCACATTTATTATGATACATATCTATCACAACACTGATCTGCATTATCACGTGACAAAGATCAAGGGTATATCAGCACGTGAAGTTTCTACGTCCTCTTTGTCAGCATTTAGATATTTGCATTTGTCTTTGAATCAAATAATTTTACGTTTACATTCCGATCCTTTATCATGTTTTTATCTCAATCCGCTTTTCATATCCATGAATTTATTTATTTTGATCACTGAATATTAAAGTTCGTTTTGTTTTTGAATCATTTATCCTTCTAGTTCATTAACAATGTGTTCAATATGAAAAGTAATAAAGTTAGAATAAACATTTTATTTAAAATATATATATATATATATATATATATATATATATATATATATATATATATATATATATATATATATATATATATATATATATATATATATATATACTCACAGCCTCATAAAATATAATACCGCGTCTATGATTTTTTTTTTTTTAGCTCTACTGGTCAGAGACCAGAAGAGCTTATGCGATAGTAAGGTGTCCGTCCGTCTGTCTAGCTGTCTGTCTGTCTGTCCGTCTGTCTGTAAACAATTTTTCAAAATGCTACTCCTACTACAGTTTTGGTCTGATTTCAATATAACTTGGCTCACAAGTAGACTACACTAAGATACACAATTTAGTGCATAGGTTTTTGATTTCGATGAACGTTGTTGCCATGGTTACTAAAAATAGAAATTTCTGTGAATTTTTTTTAAAACGCTACTCCTCCTATAGTTTTGGTCTGATTTCAGTATAACTTGGCACACAAGTAGACTGTACAATGATACATAATTTAGTGCATCGGTTTTTGATTTCGATGAACATTGTTGCCATGGTGACTTAAAAAAGATATTTCTGTGAAATTCTTTTAAAATTCTACTCCTCCTACAGTTTTGGTCTGATTTCAATATAACTTGGCACACACGTTGACTGCAATATCATACATAATTTAGTTCACCGTTTTTTGATTTCGATGTACGGTATTGCCATGGTTACTAAAAATAGAAATTTCTGTGAAATTCCTTAAAAACACTACTCCTCCTACAGTTTTGGTCTGATTTTAATATAACTTGGCATACAAGTAGACTACAATAAGATACATAATTTAGTGCATCGGTTTCTGATTTTAATGAACGGTGTTGCCATACTTTCAACGCTACTCCTGCTACAGTTTAAGTCTGCATGTAATATAATTTGGCATACAAGAAGACTATACTATGATACATAATTGAATGCATCGGTTTTTGATTTTTTTGATTTCGATGAACAATGTTGCAATGGTTACTAAAAATAGAAATTTCTGTGAAATTTCTTTAAAACGTTACTTCTCCTACAGTTTTGGTATGATTTCAATCTACATAATTCTATTTATTGTTGCATGTTGCGAAGTTTCAAATCCAAGTGCTACTATTCCTTTGTTATACGTAGAGACCAGTAGAGCTACAGTCTCATCAGAGACTTCTGGTTTTCTATAAAATGTGTTTTCTACCTTATGGGCATTAGCACAGGTCCGTAGGAAACAATTTCAGTTTTGTTTGTTTGTCTATTTTGGGGGGGGGGGGGGCGGATTGTTCGTTTTGCATTAATGTCTTTTCTACCCTTTCCAATCCGACAGAACATCTGAAGTGATGTTAACTTAATTCTGTACAATAAACTTTTTAATACAATGTACTGTATATTCTTTTTTATGTAGTTAAATTTAAAGAATAGTGTAGATCAATCAAAAATTCCATTTCATTTTAGACGGGTTCGGCTTTTAAAAACAGAGGGTGGATTCCGTGATCATTTTAGAACAAACAATCTTATGTATGGAGTTTTAACGTACATGAGTGAAAAAATGGGAGGAAGTTCATGGGAAAATCTTGTAAATAAGGATATTTTTGATCCACTGGAAATGAAAAATTCTTCTTTTTTTACTGAACTGGATCCTGATATGATTGATGTAGCGAGAGGATATGTCTTAGACGAAGGAATTCTGCATCCCGTGTCTTTCGAATTTTTGCGGTACGTTGAGAAATTCGCATTATATAAAAATGAAAGTAATAAAACAAATGAATTGATGTTTTTCTTTGGGTATAATATCAACGTCGAATGCACAAAAAACTGGCATAAATAGCTTAACAGTTTAAGGTTTAAATTTGAAGAAATGACTATTAAATTCTAGAGTGCTAAACTTACAGGCAACTTTGACCTCCTGTTTTTGCTTCTATCAGACAATGGACAGAACTGTGTGGTGCAGCTTGCATATTGACAAGTGCGGATGATATGGCGAAATTCATGAACTTCCTTTTAAATGATGGAAAGACGGACTCCGGCATCAGTTTGATTGACCAAAAGAGCATAGAAGACTTCTTTCTGACATGGCAACAACTGCCATCCTCACCTATAGAGGACTATTTCGCCAAGTCCAAAGGGGTTCCGTATTCTAGGACATACTCAGGATACAGCTTGGGGTTCAATGTTGGAACATATAGAGGTGAATTTTTTAATCGAAAAATGCCTTTCGGAATGTTTAATATAATTAATCATATATACCATCATAAATATCAATTTTCACCTCTAGCTGTAACCAAATCCAAAAATGAAATTCTGTTTTTGGAATCAAGATTTTTTTCAAAAATAAAATTCCTCTGCCCATTAAAATGGGTTTTTTAATAATGAAAATTCTCTTAAAGAAAATTGGATTCAAACTGAAATGAAGAGTAAAGAGATAAATTATCGTTCAACATTTCAAAAAAGAAACATAGTGATTTAACAATTAGAGTTATTTCTGTACATACGACTGATTAGATTCATTGGGCCTTTATGTACTGTAGGTCACAGAATACTGGAGGAAGCGGGAAACCTCTTCGGTTACCGGTCATTGATAACGCTTTTCCCAGACAAACACTTAGGTATTTTTATCTCAACGACAGGTGAAGACAACGATGAACTGTTTCGGATTTCTGTTAGTTCCTACATAAGTGACCTTTACAATGAAGAAAAACCTTGGCTTAACTCTATTGTGCTTTGTAGCTTTCCACGACCTTTCATGCCCCACCCTGTCAAGAGACGCTCCCGTTATATCCCTAAGGACATTCCGCTAAGACGCCCGGTTAGGGACTACACGGGAACATATTTCAATGAAGTGTTTCGTGACCTGTTGATAACGTCAGAGAACAACAGATTAAAACTTACGTATGGGTATGTCACATTTGATCTTCGGAAGAAAACGGAAAATTCTGAAAAATTTTACATGATCGCTGAGGGGTCTGCGCAACATATTCTTGGGACAAAAACTGTTGAGTTCCGAGAAAGTAAGGCAAATAGTACAGGCACTATAAATGTAGTGCATCTGAACAGCTTCGAAAATAGTGACTTTGTTAAATTGCCGGCAGTTGATACGTCTTCTATCTTTGACATTCTCTGACCATTTCTAGCGATTCATACAAAGAAACTATTTTTAATTTCTTCTTAGACAGAAATATCTTTCATAACAAGAAATTAAACAGGTGCCGTGTTTGTGCAATTTTTATTGCGATCCAAAACCCCCGGAGAGAGTACAAAACTGTAATCAATACATTAAAACAGATTTTACAAGAAAGTCTTACTGATGTACATGTCACAATTGAATTAAGATGAATAACATTCGAATATTCATTCGATGAGTTGATATTCGAATATGAATTTAAGATTCGAATATTCGGTATTTTTTTCAGATTTCATAAAAAGAAGTACTGTGTTTAATAAATTTTGATTAGAACAGTGCTGGAATTATCCCTGTTTAATTTACTAGCGATCAATTTTGATCGCCTGATTTCTTTCACTACTTTCTTATCGTATATATATCTACTAAATTATTTTGTTTTTAATAAGGTATTAAAGAATTATACAACAATGCGTTATGTATAATACAAAACGTATTTTCCTAGTTTTTATTAAATAAATACGATCGGATCTAGAATCGAGGACAACAAAATGAAAACCTTCTTAGAATGTCTAAAAGACCTGAAGAGTAAACTTATCAATTGTAGAGGGCTCAATTTCAGAATAAATGGGTAAATTACTTAATTATCTCGGGTTATACATAATCTTGAATTTTATATTCATTATCGGGATATTAGTTAATTACCTAGGAAAATTGTCTATGGTAATATTTGTTTATATTTTAAAAACATTGTATCAAAGATTATAATCATATCTCTTATTAGGTTGATAATGTGTATTTGTCCTTGGTAAGGACATGGTTCCTCGGAGCTACTATAAAATAAAATACACATGTATCATTTGTTAAAATTATCCTTTTCTACATTTAAATCAATTATTTATGTCAAACATTGACAAATATCAAATGGAATTCCTTATTGTATATATACAAAAGTCTTCATACAATTTTACTTCAGTATAAGAATAACGCTAAACCTTTCATGAGAGTAGGATGATGCACACCAGTATTTAAAATAAACCAGATTTTATTTATTTTATCGAATATTCGAATATATTCGAATACTTTCATTGAATATTCAAATATTAATTATTGACAAAATTGACATCCCTAATAAAATGTCAAATAAATGCTACTATAAAGAATACAACTATAATACTTTAAGCGAAACAAGACCTAATGCAATGAGTAATTTTTCAGGTTTGTTTACATTATGCTCGTATAATCAAATCTCCGATAAAAAGTTTTTCAAACAATGAAATTATACAGATTTCATAATAACATTTATAATCATATAAATTGTTGATAAAACACACTATTTTCAAGTTCAAGTTCAAGTTCAATTTATTCACCCAAACCAAAATATTGGTACATGGGGTTCATTAACAACATATATACATTATATACAATCTGGTCAGAGGTACATATACAAAACAAAAAACATGACATATGATTGAAAAAGAAAATAAATAAATAAGAGAGGGGAAAATATATATCAAGGAGGACAGACAGCATCATAAATTTTTAAAATAAACATACATAATTTTTTCAGCATTTTTTCATTTTTGGTTGACATTAATTCCATAAATTTAATAACATTAGGTCTGTGGGAAAAATAATTGCCCAGGTAATTTTTTCTTACATTAGCTAAAGTTTTACATTCTAAGATATAATGAAATTCATCAGCAGTTTGATTATTATTACAAAGTGTACAGATTCTATCACACAGTGGTATACCATACTATGTGCAGGGCCAAACACCTAATTTTTGCATAAAATAATAGCATTCAACAGCATGCTTGATCTGTATTTATAAACGTTTCCGTTTCATGTATGATCTAACTTGTCAAGCAGATACTTTTTTGCTATAATGGCATTAGGACTGGAATATTTTTACCAGCCTTTATTAAATGTACTATAGGAAAGAGTACTTTTAAGAAACAAGTTAAGAGTTTTATCTTACAAAATGTCATTTTAGAATATGAAAGTGATATGTTTCAATATTAATTTTATAAAACATATTTTATTATTATATTGATACTATCAATGCTGTCATACTTAAATTCAATTAGCCAGTTATCCTGGTATCAACTAGTCACAGTGGAATTATATTTCTAAAAATATGGTTTCCTGAATATTTATTTATAAATCTATTTAAAATTTATGGATTCCTAAATGTTGTCTTTCAAGTGATTATGTATAGTCATTGCAGCCCGGAGGACCGGGCTGCTCTATACATATAAGTTTAAGTGTTGGTATATGGGGATTGAGGTGGGAGAAGTTATTCAGAATTAAAGGTTTTCTAAACATTAAAAAGATTGTTAATCAGAATGTTCTTTCCCTTTATAAATTACGAGATACACAATATATTTACTTCCATAAAGTGAATCTGTAAAAATATATATGTTTTTCATATTTAATATATAAAGTAGCTTATCATTTACTATCGAAAAAACGACAGGTCCCTTTTTTTAGAACATCGAATTTTACTTATCGCATAAAAACGTAAAAATGTACTTTACACAGTTCGTGTTTTATATTCTTAAAGTGAAAGATATTTTTGAAAATAGGTGATGCATGTGTCTGGTTTCAAATTATATTTTATGCAGCCAACATTTACTTGAGGAATTGATAAAGTTTAAAAGGGTATCGTTTTTGTTCGATTTTCATCCGACTATTAGTTTTCAAAATATTCTCGACTATCGTCTCCATCATTTAGACGCATGCCTTTTTCACACATATCGAAGCGGTTTGATGATCAAGACTCATTCCCATTGTTTACTTTATTTATTTCCCGGGCGACAATTGATGGTTACATCAATGTTTTCTTGTGTGTATTTGTTTTATGTATGATGACATGATACCAAATAAATGATGATGATGATAACTTCCTGTTATTTCAAAATAAAATATACAAAGGCGGAGTGTCAAATTCCGGATTAAGCGTCACCACATTGTTAATGTAAGAAAAACACTTGCAAAATAAAATTACTTGCTTTTAAGAGCTATTCTCTGTAACCGTTTAAACTTCTTTGCCACGCATGTTCACCAATTTTGATGAAACTCTGCCCATTATTACCACTTGACACCAGAAACATATATTAAATAAAATTTAGTTGCTATGTGTCTTGGATGCCATGGTAATAACCGGAAAAGTTTGAAAAATTCACATTTTTAGCTACTTTGAATCTTTGTTGAGCCTTAATAAAGACTGAGAAAAACAAACGAAGTTTAACCATTCTGACAAAAAACGTGACACCTTGTTGCCACTTATGCTATATAGTAACTATTAAGAGTATTTGTCTAAGTAGGTGGTTACCATGGGTACATTTGGAATACATTTTAAATGCTGAAAAATGCTCAATATTCACTATTCATAGGAGTAATATGATCAAACTCCATAAACAACTCAAGAAAAACAATAAAAATATTTTACCTTAAGCAATTAGGTATTGGCAATATTTTTCTCAAAATAACTTTCATGGTTGTCATGGTAACACAGTGTATCCATAAAAAATTTGTTGATTATGCTACTAACCTAAGGAAAAACATGGAAATTAAAAACAGGCAAATGTACTAGTACATTATTAGAGCCTTGTAACACAATAGCATTAGAAAGACTGGAATTTGTTGCTACTTTGCAGTGTAACCACTGAAGCAACGTACCTTTGGTTTAAAGTGATATTTTTTGTTGCTTTAGGAATTCAGTTTCCTTTCAATCAAGAAACATATTATTTGAATCACCTTGAATAGTTCAATTATCTGATAGAAATAAAGTTGAATATCGTATATTGGTAAAGTTTGAAATAACATTGTTACTATAGTTACAAAGAAGGGAAAATGTTCGCTTTGTTCCCTTTATAACAATATTAAACTCCATATATGGTAGCTACTTGCATCTAGTTGTTCATTAATATCGATCATAAAATATTTGGGAATCTATATACAAGGCTACTATTCAAGGAAAAAAAATATTTTTCAGCATTTTTACATATTTTTTCTGCTTATTTCCATAGCAATGCTATATTTAGAGAATTTAATCTAATATTTTTTGAAATGTGAAAATTGGGACAACACCAGTGCCTTTAAAAGCTGATCACCCGATATATACGTAGAAATGAGCTTTTTAAAAAGATAGGATCAGATTAAAACATACAAAGAGTTAATTTTAAATCCTTTAGCGGTACTAAACCATAGCAACCCTTGCCAATAAATAAGAAATATCACATTTCGTCCTTGGTATGTATTACAAGGATATTTATATGTGTATCTTTAATTGGTTGCATTTCAACCTCTAATTGCTTTTATTTTTGAGTGTATGACTATAAAAATGAATGAATAAAATTACAGTATTACTTTTGAATACTTTGTTTCCATTTATAGTAACATATCTAATAGCTGATTTCCCAAACATGTTTATCAGGCATTTAAAACATAAGGTCTTCAACTTTTGGAAACAGTCATTGCAACTTGTTTGTACTACTGCAAACGTTTACTATGGGGCTTTGAACATTTAGAAAAATGCCATTTTTCAAACTCCATGATATTTTGCTATGGTAACCATAGCACTAGCAACCAAATTTTTCCTGATTTTTAGATTACGATATCAAAGACTTACTTCATAGAGAGTTTGGAGAAATTCTGAGCCTATGCGTGCCACAGCTCCAATATAGAATTTCAAGTCATTACAGAGAATGGCTCTTAATTTCTTTTTCTGAAATACATTTAAAAAGTCCTGGGTGCGTTCAAGGTGGTAGCATATACTTAGCTCCTACACAGAGCTGCAATTTCGAACAATTGCTTTCATCCTTACTTAACGCTTTGCATAACACGAGAAACTTACAAAAAGTGCAGTTATTTTCTCAATCTTGGCGAATGAAATGTAAGTTTAGATACATTTTTTTACTTGATTTCACCTCACTTTATTCCATGAATATTAGTTTTTACTGTGATATCTATATCCAAAGTTTAGCGGCTAGGCGAGATGTCCGATTAGAAAAGCTAAATATCTACCACCTTGCTGGGTAGCTGCAGCCATTTTAAATGCAGTCCTGATCAACGGTTGCAAAATCATGTCCTTGCTATCTGATGTATTATAGTCGTACGATACGATATCGATTGATTGTATGTTGTTTTAACTCCCATTCTCGAGTTTTTCACTCATATGGAGACGTCACCATATACTGG